TTCGGCACAGGGAAAGTCAGACAACAGCTGGATGGGAAGCATGTGGCGGTCCATAAATGTGTTTGATGATTAACTAGGAAACTGTCTTTTGGTGAGTTGTGCTGCAACACCATTGCAGATGTGCAGGTGAGCACACGAATTGATGCACCTGCTTCCTCCTCCCACCTGCCGTGTCTCTGAGCAAACACGGGGTATGCAAATGTGAGCAGTTCAGTTAAAAAGAGAGCTTGAATAAAAGTGTTCTTCAGATTTGACAGGAACTGGTTTAGGATCAGCCGAAGCTCTATCTGATTGTTAGCTGGTGATGCAGTTAGTTATGTGTCAGTAATTTTCCTTCCTTCTTAGACGGTGAGTCAAAGTCTGGCTCCTCCGCTCTCAGCCAGGCTACTAGTCAGCTTGGCCGCCAGTCGGTTAGTGGGTGAGCGTGGGCTGAAGCCCGACGCAGTGAGGTCAACTGTTCCACAGACTCGTTCGACTCAGAGATGTACACATGGCTTCATACGTATGGTACTGACCCACCTCTTCACATGAGAGCATCTGTCCAGAAACCATGGTCAGCATGGAGGTAAAGTACTGAGCCTGACTGGGTTCCTACCATCACCAGATTAAAGCTCCAGATTAATTTGAGGATGTTAACTCTCAGCACAGTTTTCTTCTTCTTCTTCTGTTTCCTCCTGATTTGCGTAGAGATCTAAAACGAGGTGCGACCTTCTAATTAAGCTTCCCCCTCCGTTCACATAAACCATCGGCCTCGTCTGTCTGTTGGAGATCAGAGGTCTGGATGGTGAAACGTGATGTCACATAGCAGAGAACCAAACTTTTTCTGACTTCTTAGAACTAAAAACAACATGCTCCTTTTCTGGTTCCCTGGGGAAAACGTTCAGGGCCTGGATCTGAAACCTGAGAGCGTTTTCCTGCTGTGTGCTTTACAGTGCCAGAGCACTCACTGTAATTTACCAAAAGTGGCTGCTATTTATGCCATAAAGCATGTGTTTAACATTCCTGAACCCCACTGTGTTTGTGTATTCCTCGCTCGCTCGCTCGCTCCCACTCACTCTCTGCCTGCATTTCTATTTGTGTGTGTGTGTGTGTGTGTGTGTGTCCCTGCAGCCCTTTCCCTCTTCACAAGAGGATCATCTCTCCCCCTCGGAGACAAGGCCGACAGGAAGTGGGAGTTTACATTGGCCTACTTTACCCAAAAAAGCAGGCCTGGGTTTTAAGCGCTGCAGAGATCAAGTGCTTGTTCTCCCGTTGCATTTTGCCACTACCAGCGCCATGTTCCTCCCCCCTGTTCCAGCTGTCCCACCCCAGAGCTGCCTCTCCCAGCCGAGCTTCTGGGGTGGAGTTGGGTGGTCAGAGGCTGAAGAGTGGCCTTCAGTGCAGCAGCAGTCAGGGCTCATGGTCTGTGAAACAGGAAGGAGCTGTCAGCGTCTCATAAACACAACTCATCCTGCACTCCTGACACACAAGGCCTGGAGAGAGCGGACCCAGGAAAGGTCTTCAGACAGCCGCTCCAGCTACACCGGTGCTGCGTACCCACATCCACAGCAGCTCCATCATCCTGAATCTGCTTTGTAAATTACAACCTCAGTCTGAGCTTGGGAGAACAGAAACATCATCAAATGTGATGTTTAGATCCACTCCTCCATTTTAACGGGTGTACTCCCCAAACACATCTCACCTCATGTATTACTCCTCTGGCCTCCTCCACCAAGATTAGCTCCATTAAGTCTCTGCCACCCGGCTCTCATGCTTTAGTTTGTGGGTGACTTTCTCCAGAGAAAACCTTCTTGGGTGTTTTCGTCTCTTTTGTCACAGTGAAGTTCAGAGCACCAGCACAAATTTCAGAATGCAGATCTAATTCCTCTGCTGCCAGAAACAACCACCGCATCTGGTAAAAAAGGCCAACAGCAGAAACACCACAAGTATGCCTAATGACGGATTTGATCAGGCTGCGGAGTTGCCCAAAGGCTGGATTGGAGAAGTGGTTGGGTGGGTTGGGGATGGGGCTAAGAGCGCATATTAAAAAGTAATGAATCACACACTCAGTCACAGGGTCGCCGGCTATGAATGTGCTCTCTGTTGGTCTTCCTGGAGCCTGGAGTTTACTAACTGATGACGCAGGCTGGACTTGATCGGAGACATGTGTTGCTGAGGACCTGATGCCAGTGAGAAAGAATAGAGAGGAAAATGGGGAGAAGGAGGGAGGAAAGAGAGGGACGAGTGATGCTCTGCTTTTCCCCTCAGTATCCTTCAGGCACCACCTCCTTACTGAGGCTGATGGTGGAGATCAGCGTGATGATAAGCAGAGTGTGTGCATGACTCAAAAACAGCTAAAAGTGACCAAAAACAGATTTAGCAACATCTTGAACCCTCCTCCGACTCTGAGTAGGTGAAATAATTGGTTTCAGTAATCAGTTCAAGCCATTTAGACTATTACTGCAGCGTGTGATGACTGAAAACAAATACGTCAGCAACATCATGTTGCTCCTCAGCCTGCTGGTTTTGTAGCCACTAAACACACTCCAGCCATAATCCTGGTGTGTACTAGACCAGCAGAGGGGAAGGAGCTTGTTTTTAAACACAATCTACAGATGCAAACAGGACAGAGGCCCCTGAGCGCTAATCTGCTTTATCTAATCAGACACCAGATCTGATAAATTTGGGGTCTTTGTCCTGTTGGAACACGCTACGCTTCAATTAGCTAGACCAGTGATTCTCAATCTGTGGGTCCCGACCCAAAAGTCGGTCGCGGCTCCTTGTTTAGTGGGTCGTGGTCCACTTTTATTTTGAAGGAGACCTTATTGTGTAGTCTGTTCCCACTCCTCAGCAGCAGGTGGCGATAAAGTCAGGGAGTGCTAATTGCTTACTGTGGTTTTACAACACGAAGTAGGACACACATCTTCTATATGGCTTTCTGCCCTGAGTCAGAGACGTTGGAGGACCTAATCAGTCTCGCAGTTCACATAGAAAAGAGGCTAAGAAACCGCCCAAAACCTGCTCAGCCATGTTTTCAGCCTGTTCTTCCAAACCAGTTGGTCCGTTCCACATCATCCCCTAGTTCAGTTCATGTTTCAGGACATGACTGGCTCATCCTGGAGCCCATATTGTTTGTTTCATTGCCTCCTGTCTGCTAACCTCTCTGCACCGGTTCCAGTTTCCAGTTCACCGACTCCTCCCGACCTGTCTCTGGTTCCATCCGAATACCATGACCTTCAAGGTGTGCTTTGTAAGGACCGAGCCGCCTCTCTGCCACCCCATCGTCCTTACGACTGCTTTATTGATCTTCTACAGGGAGACACACTACCCTCTAGCAGGTTGTACAATTTATCTAAACTGAACGTGAGAGCATGGCCACCTACATTTCCGAATCATTAGCTGCTGGTATAATTCGTCCATCCACCTCCCCACAGGGGGCAGGATTTTTTTTGTCTCTAAAAAACACGGTTCCCTGCGCCCCCTGCATTGATTACAGAGGGCTTAATCAAATCACAGTAAAGAACAAGTATCCTCTGCCTCTGTTGTCTTCAACTTTTGATCCTGTTCAGAAAGCTACCATCTTCACCAAGCTGGATCTCCGTAATACCTACCACCTTGTCAGAATCCTTGAGGGCGATGAGAGTAAAACGGCTTTCAAGACCCCCCTGGGCCATTACGAATATCTTGTCATGCCCTTCAGCCTCACCAACGCCCTGTGGCTTCCAGTCACTGGTAAACTCAGTACTCAACGTTTACGTAGATAAGTTTGTTACTGTTTACCTCGATGACATTCTAATATTCTCCAGTACCCTCTCAGAACACCGCCATTATGTCCGTGCAGTCTTGCAGTGTCTTCTGGAAAACCGCCTCTTTGTGAAAGCCGAGAAATGTGAATTCCACGCTTCATCAGTGAAGTTCCTTGGATTCATCTTGGAGAGCAGGCGGTTGAAGACAGACCCCGATAAAATAGAAGCAGTTCGCGACTGGCCTATCCCAACTCTAGCCAATGGTGCCATTCCTCCAAAGCCAATTTCACAGCCAGCAACTCCCAGTCACCCCATCTTGGACTGATCACAAGAATCTTGCCTACCTAAAAGAAGCCAAGAGACTCAACTCCAGACAATCCCGTTGGTCCCTATTTTTCACTCGTTTCAACTTCATCATCTCTTTCAGACCTGGAACCAAGAACGTTAAGCCCAACGCCCTGTCCCGCCAGTATTCATCAGACAAAGACCAGGAACCTGCTACCATCCTCCCTCCGTCCTGTGTTCTGGGATCTATTACCTGGGACATCTCACAAAGGGTCCTGGATGCACAACAAACTGACCCTAACCCAGGTAACGGTCCTCCTCGTAAATTATATGTACCTCAACATGTCCGAGGTTCAGTCATTCACTGGGCAATTATGGCCAGGTTCTCGATCCATCCGGGAGTTGGTCGTACCCTCGCTCTGGTCCGCAGGTCCTTCTGGTGGCCCTCTATGTTTAAAGACATCAAAGAATACATCAGTGCCTGTCAGGTTTGTGCTCGTAACAAATGTACTAATCAACCTCCAGCTGGATTACTAAGATCTCTTCCCATTCCCTCTCGTCCATGGTCCCACATAGCACTTGATTTTGTTACCGGTCTACCTCCCTCAAAGGGTTTCTCTGTTATACTCTCTATCATTGACAGATTCTCTAAGGCCTGCCATTTCGTCCACTTTAAGTCCCTTCCTTCCTCCGCTGTGACTGCTCAGCTGCTGGTGAAACACATCTTTCAACTTCATGGCATTCCTGATGAGATCCTGTCTGACCGTGGTCCCAAATTCCTCTCTAAGGTCTGGAAAGAGTTTGCTGTCTCTCTAGGAGCCAACGTTTCCCTGAGCTCTGGCTATCACCCCCAGACCAACGGCCAATGTGAGCGACTCAACCAGGAGTTGGAGGCCATGCTTTGTTGCGTGTGCTCTTCTAATCCTAACAGCTGGAGCACCCAACTTCCCTGGATTGAGTATGCTCACAACACCCATGTTTCATCCGCTG